CCCTTCATCATTGCCAAGGATGCGTCGTGTCATTTTAGATTGTACTGTGTCTTTCTGTTCAGCATTGGCCTTTGTGGAGACTCGTCAACGCTCGCTTTAGTGGCTCGGCATCTAGGTGAGACGAGAGAAGGTGAGCAATTGGCGGCTGTAATCTGGCGCGTGTGAAAATCATCGATACATTTTTACCCAGAAACGTTTAGTTGCAGAAATGGAACAAAAAATGTTGGGAAGCGTCGCATCTCAAGCCTGAGCACCACCTTCAAAGAACATTTTGTGGGCCGGAGTTATGCGGCCTTGAAACAGGGGCCGGGCAATATTTTTCATCAAGAGGAACTTCACCGGATTTTTCACTCGGGTAAGCTGCGCTCAGTGTTCTGAGATTCAGCTACCTCTTGTTTGAGTTTTACATCTCGTACAATTACCGTTCAAAAGACGAAGTTTGTCATTCGTATGCGGAATAAAAACAATTCCGTAAAGCGTAAGAGCGAGCTGGCAAACCGTTAAACACACCTGAGGAAAAACCGTCGCGTCGCCTTGGTTATTGGCGGTGCTACGCGAAGCGACTTTCGCTCACATGAAATTCACGCTTTAGAATACCCGATGGGGGTCCGCAAAATACACTCTCTCTCTCTCTCTCTCTCTTTCTCTTTTTTTTTTTTTCTTTTTTTAGACGAGAGCGATTACGATTGATCAAACGGGAATTATGTCTCAGCAGGATCGGAGTTATGCGGCCTTGAAAATATTATTCTGCTTTCAGCGATGTAAATAAGATTAACGTAAGACTCAACTTTCACGGTGCCGGTTTTATAAACACGACGGTCATGCGTCACAAGTAAGAAACATATCTATATCTTCTACTTACTCAATCTTTGAAATTCCTCTTGTAACAGTACCATGCTACAAGTACCTTGGGGTGCACATCATTCTAACATGTCATGGAAAACTCATACTGACCACATTATCGCCAACGCTAACTCCATGCTTGGTTACCTAAAGAGAAACTTTAGGCTAGCACCAGTGTCCCTAAAACTACTAATGTATAAAACCCTTGTCCGTTCCAAACTAGACTATGCTGCAGCAATCTGGGGATCCTGGTCTCTCAACTCTCGTGACTGATCTTGAAGACCTAGAGAATCGCGGTGCCCGTTTTATATTTACTAACTATCATCGCACATCTAGTGTCTCACTATGAAAACTAATTTATCACTTCCTGCTCTTTCATTACGCCGAAAAATATCTCGTTTGTGTCTTTTTTTTAAATAAAATTTATCATTCCAATACTTCGCTAAAAAACAAACTAATGTTAAATCCTGTTTTCATCTCGCCGCGCGTAGATCAATATAAAGTCGGAATTTCTCATTGCGTCACCTCAGCCTATTATAACTCTTTTATTCCAAGGACATCTTCAGAGTGTAATCGCCTTCCCGCGCAATTAGTAAACATACCGTCTTTTGACTTCTTTAAAAGTGCGTTGACTACTTATTTTTCTTTTTTTGTTTGCCTTGTTCTATACATTTCTTAATTTGTTTACACATTTTTTTTTAACATTTTTAGTGCTTGGCTTTTAGTGTTTGTATATTGTTTGTGTTCCAAATTTGTATTGTACCACTCCCCTCTGTAATGCCCCAGGGCCTTGAGGGTACTTAAATAAATAAATAAAAATAAATAAATAAGGCCACGGTTACAGTGATCGTACACCAAACAAAAACACGGTATTTGCTGCCGACATGATCGCAGAACTATATGCGAACACGCGCCAAACATCTTGAAAGAATGTTTGTTCCATACATGCAGGGGGGAATGGGCAGTATTTCAAATACTTCGTGTATTTTGCACTTGTATTTAATTACAAATTGGATAATGTATTTGACGTGTGTATTTAATTACTAAAACGTGGGTATTTCAAATACAATTGTAATTAAATACAATTTTGTGGGCGAAAATACACCCCTCAAATTTATTGTCGCTGTCCAGAGCAGGAAGCAAACTACGTTCTGCACCGAATGCAGTGTCTCTCAATCAAGCACAAGCGTTTAGTGACTTTGTGATTGCGGTGCTAGTCCAGGGCAAGAATAGTGACGAAATCGACGTTCAAAGGCAGACTGGCTAAATAAGTGTCTGTGACAACTTGTGATGCTTTCCAGCCTGAATTCCATTTATATTTTTGCCTGGAACATTCTAAATATGCGGGTCGTCCAGATTTTCGTAACTGGTGCGAGTTGCAACAATAAAAAATTCTCTAGCTAGTGCTGCGCGTCTTGGTGGTCTCGGTTCTTTGTTGGTCTATACCAAAACGTAATCGACAAAAAAAGCTGCTTGAAGCTCTGTACTTTTTTCACCTATTACGTCCAAGCTAATTACATTTTTTTGTGATTATATTTCTATTCCGTTACTAGAGCCTCGCACACTAACTCCCGAGTGTGCGATGCAAAATTAAAATGAGATACCCAGAAACCCGTTGCAGGTGCCCTGAAGTCGCTGACGCAAATTTTGAGGAATGCATTTGGAGGAGACCAAATACATTTGGTTGTATCTGTATCTTGTACTTAAATGCTCTTTTTGGAAATGTAATTAGATTTGTAATTAAATACATTTTTGACGAAGTATTTTGTATTTGTAGTTCGATACATATGTGCATGTATTTTGCCCATCCCTGCATACATGTATGTATTGTTCGCATATTTCTGGCGACATAATTTTGTACGAACAATATGAGGCGACCATCAAAAGCCTCAGACAGTGTTTGCAGACTTTTCTTAGTGGTGTATAAGTGCACGCCACCGAAACATGTCGTCGTCAATATCCCCGGGATCCCCAAAAGGGACACGTGCACATGCCCCCCTCCGGACACCCATTAGAACATCAATCACTGTAACACAGAAGTTGTTATTGACTCCGGCGTCCCAGTTAGGACGTTGACGAAGCACGTCAGGTCACGCGATTCGCAAATTTATAATATCAGTTTGACCGAATGAAGTTAGAGCTTCCGTGTAGCACGAGAGTGAGTGCGTTCGAGGGAATCCCTGTCAGATAGGGAATACTAGACAGCCCCGTTATATAACCTCGAGTCAAGTGCCAGCGTGAGGCGCGCATTCTTGGATTCTATTTTGAAAAATGTATGTTCGTTATGAATGCGAGGTATATAATTGTCAGAAAAATAGTTACCCGTCCCTCTGTTCGTCGGAGGGAGATTTCCCCGAAGGCCGATAATGTGAATAATTAAGCTAGGTTTCTTTTAATTTCGGTTTGGAATAATAATAATGAAGCTTCACGGGCTAATCGTTTCCATGCTGCTATTTCTTTGAGCAAAACGCTGCGTTTCACACTGTGTTTAGTTCAGTGTACGGGGAAAGGCAACACTGACCGAAGAACGCCATTCCAGAGGGTGTGTGTGTGCTGGCGATGTAGAAAAAGGAAATGGGTCAATAGTGGGAGTAAGCAAGCTCCAGCGGGCGCAACTATGTCAGGTAAAGTATTTGGCTATGTGGTGGCAAGATGCTTTTCGGGAAGGGACTTGTGAGTGACGTCAGCGATCGGAAGAACCAGAGGGACTCCCTCCCCGGCTCCAGGGGAGCCGATATTGATATGATATTTCTTTATTTAACCCTTGGGAAGAACCCGATATCGCACCTACAAGAAGAAAGGCTCCGTGCGCGCTGACGAGAGTAAAAAAAAAAAAAAAAAAAAAAAAGTAAGGCGTACGTAAAATGGCGGCACTCAATTAGGACATCAGAGTTGTTAGGTACCGAAGACGCAAAATTGGTTCCGGCTGAATAAAGACGCCGATCGAAAGGGGGTGCAACAGAGAGAACGTGGAATCCGAAACCAGTTGTTTGCTTGACGTCGACATTGATGAACACCAAAAACATTGCTCGTGAAAACGTAGAAGAAACGTTCAACGAGCCGACGACCTGCGAAAACAAGTTATGGCGATCCCAATGCCACCACCGGTTTTCCGCGGACCAGACACCCGAACAAAATACCATTGCGAAGCGACGGTTTGTGCAGCCCGAGCAAAAGCTTACCCATCCCCCTGGGATGTTTGCGTCAGCGCGGCTCTACGTAAAGACGTGAGGTGTTACCACGTGATGCGCATTCCGGGATCAACAAAGGGGATTGCTCCCCCTACACGACGGACCAAGGCGACGGACCGAATCGCGATTTTCGTCCGCGGACGTCGTGTACCATGTGACCGTCACGTCACTGATTCCTGCGCTCCGCCTCTCGTCCGCGGACGCACGGACTGATGAAGTCGAGCCTCTTTTCACTCTCAGATTTTTGGCGGATCATTGACTTGAACAGGCGTTTAGTCTGGCAACGGTACAATGTTTTCTTGATCTGTGTCACGGCCTGTGTCACTGTCATGCCTCGAGTTGGTAAAGCAAGTGGCACTTCGCGTGAAGCCTATCACGGGGTTCTTTCTCGATCTGTACGTAACATCGGCGTACGATTCTTTGTCGCGGTGACAAACGCCGATTTCTCTCTTGGACAATGGTGCCACGTTGCGATGTTAGAGCTTCGCGGCACGAGGGCTAGCGAACGGGTTCGGTCCGTCCTCGCTGGCGTCTGCTCGTCATCTCCCTCGTGTGGATGCGCTTGGCAGTCGGGCAAACCGAATACAACTGCTCCCCCCTCCCTACACACACACACATACAATTATCCCCCCCCCCCCCGCCCCCCTTTTTGTACCACAGAAACGAGTTACACATTGGTCAACGCTCAGACTCTGCCTTAATATTGTAGTAGTGGTTCGAACCATATGCCAAGTTTTCAGAACTAACCATTGTCTTATTCAAAAACTATAGATAAGTTTCTTCAACATCAAAAAAAAAGAAAAACAGGAAAAAAAAAAACTGCTGCGGCAGAAACAGTTGCGCTACTATATCGCGTACAGTTCGCGGCCCTGAAGTACGGATGGAAGTCAGTTCTCCAAATCAGGCTCGTCGGTAGTTTGCTAATTGAGTCACCACAACCGAACGCAAGATTGTGAACCAAACACCAGCGTGTTTTCCGCAGATCTGGCTCGAGGCGAGACTCTCCTGGAAGTGGGCGTCGGCCCGATTGCCTGGTACTCTTTCATGTCCTCCAGTCGGTTCAGCGACATCGTGCTGAGCGACTTGGTCGAGGACAACAGAATGGAGCTCACAAAGTGGCTGGTCAAAAGCGAAGATGCAATCGACTGGACCTCGCGTGCTGAGCAAGTGGCCGCCTTGGAGGGCTACAGGTATCATACACACACGCGCGGCTCTGACGGGCGCATCAGAGGTGTCAGGCACGTAGCCAGGATTTTGTTTCGGGGGTGGGGAGGCCATTGACAAAATGCTGTATGAGGGGGAGGAGGAGAGGAGGTCCCAGCAAAATGAAAATGGAAGATTTCTGGGGGGGGGGGGGGGGGGGGGGGGGGAGGTAGGCACGGGCTCTATGCCCCCCCCCCCCCCCGGCTACGTGCCTGAGAGGTGTCAAATCAAGCTTCAGTGTCTGCGCAGCGCACACGCCTGGCCTGGGCAAACGCAAGCTTGGTTAGAGCGTCGGTCTATATACGCAAAGAACCTAGAGAAACCGTGAATCAGCAGGGCGTACATGGGTTAAAGTGGAAGCTCTTCCCGACCCTTCCATCTTTAGCAGAGCGAGCGCTGGAGAGGAGGCGACCTCCTCGCCAGCGTCCGCTCTGCTAAAGTGGAGTTGGGTGGGGAGGGGCTTTTAGTTTACTCCTAACCTGTCACCGACTAGACCTTGTGTAACGAAGCACGTAAACCAGCACGTGAAGGTAATGAACCTTATTGGTTTGGCTGTGAATTTCCAAAAATACGTACGCACGGACAATTTACCGACGCCGAAAGCGTGTTAGGGCTGGCTTCCTAATTTAGAGACACTGCAAGTTTCTAAAAAAAAAAAAAATGTTAAAGATGTTTCTTTTAAAAATTTATTTGGATGCGATTGTGAACGTTCTGACATATGCAACTTTAAAAAAAAATGTATAAAATAGTCTTCAGATGCGTAATCCGCGGTCAGAATTGATGAAAAAGATAACGCCTACTCACACCGCAGGTATACCGGCCTTGAAGAGCATGCTACGGCCGATTAAGTTCCATCGATACTTCGCATCAATCATATTGACGCAGAATGGCCGGTTTTGTGCTTGCATCGGCATTCCTAACAAAGTACAAAAATTGAAACGGGCGAAAGAGGAAAAACGGACCCAAACAGGTATAGACTGAAACATACGACGCGTTCCGCGTCCATCGGCTTCATCGGGTAAAACATACACACTGCTTCACCGGGAGGCTCGAGCTTAGTAAAACTCCATTCATCGGCGAATATTCGGGCAGTATTTGTGGCCCGTTTCCTGTGGTGACAGAAGTCGCCGAGATCTAGCAAGATCCAAAGCACACAGCTGGCGCTTTGGGCACTGCTTGTTAACTCGGACATGTGAGTGTGGCGAATATTTGCGTCCCCACCTGGCGAAAGTATAGCTGTTAACGTTTTCTGTCCAACAATTCCATTTCTCGACTATTTTTTGCAGCATTTAACGTTTAGTGCGCGGTCCCTGTTGAAAAAATTCATTTCTATAAGAAATTTCTGTGTCCAATGAACACATATGAATCACACAAGATATATAATAACACATAAGAACCATATACGGCTGAACCTTATAATACGGCTGAACCTTATAACAATGGTCTGTACGAGGAGACCGGTGAGATGGTGAATGCAGAGAGTTCGCAGCACAAATTCCTGTTTGATTATAATAAATCGAATAAAATAATTTAAGGCGCAGCCTTTTACGCCGCTCGTTTGAATGCCCCCATTCAGTTCCTTTCTCATTTTAGTTGTGCTACTGAAACGATCGTATCTATCCAGGACAAACCGAGCAGCGACAGTTTGAATAGACTGTTGCTGCTCATCAAGCAGCAGCAGCAATAAAGCTAGAGCAAAGCGGGCGGCACTTTGCGAGCGGCCATTACGAATTCTTCCGATGCGAAATGCCCGGCGAGAAAGGAAGTCACGTGTGCGCGTCGAGGGCTGGCAAGGCTGGCTTCTGGTCGAATCTGCCGAAATCGGCGGAGCGACTTTTCTCGGATCCGGATCGAGATCTGGAGTGGTAGCTGTTCCAAAACGACGAGTGGAACACGACCGCCTCGATCCCGATCGCCCAGTGAAATAGGCGCGCTCCAGAAAAGTCAATCCCGGCGCACTCCAAAACGACCAGTGGAATTCGCCCCAAGATAACGATTGGCTCTGAAAGTTCGGTACGTGCTTTGGACCGCTAGTGCTGCGTTTGGGTGTGGACTGGGAGTTAGGCGGTGGATAGTTAATCACGTTTGCGATGAAAAACCACTGTAAGTATGTTTCGGGGACACGCTGTGCTTGTGCATATCAGGGTAAGGAGAACATGTTAAGTTACTCGTCACTTTCTTGCTTAATCTTTTTTTTTTTTTTTTTTATTTATACACTCCCGTAACTAAGGGGCACGCCAAGGTAGTAAAACACTTGAGAATTCACAACCAAAATGAATACGGTACCAAATCATGCTTAATTGGTGCACAACACCACTCTGTTAAAATAAAGAACACTCTGCACAAAGAAACAACGCGGGAAACACACGTGACCGTAATTTCCTATACGAATACAAAAAAAGCCTCATGTACTTATTAAACATGAAATAAAAATGCTGGCTCACTCATACAATAGGCATAAGAACGAGTGTTCGCAATATGAATCGGCAATAGACCTTTTGCTAAAATGCCCAAGCACCAAGGAGCGTGCCGCGAATGCGCTTACTCGCGCCGCACGTGCTGGCGTCGGCAGAAGTAACTGTTCTAAAGCAAAAACCTAAAACAAATGACATCTTGCACGCCCGTTCGTCAACGCCCCATTTTGGTTATTTATTTCGAATCGTTTATACGGGGATGGTAAGTGCATGCTCCGCATTTACATACATTCCTAGCATTCTCCTCAATGCTTGGGTAGTTTAGAAATAGGTCTATTGTTCCAGGAAGTGAGTTCCATTCCTGTACGGTACTTGGCAAAAATAGGTATTTAGCATGTTCTGAATATGATTTCAGTGGGTGCACTCTAAAAAAGTCCGTGAGTCTGCTTTCCCGCTCAACACTTGGAGAGCCAATCACCGCAACTTACGGAGGCAGCTCAGCGAATGACAATGCCGAATAGACCAAAAAAACGCAGTCTGAGTTGTGACATTAAGCAATGCAAGCGTGACGTTTTGCATTGCTTAATGTCACAGCTCAGACTGCGTTTTTTAGTCTAAACATATGTTTCGGCATTGTCATTCGCTGAGCTGCCTCCGTAAGCTGCGGTGATTGGCTCTCCGAGTGTTGTGCGTGAAAGTAGACGCACATACTTTTTTTAGAGTGTGTTTTGATGTGTTTTTTTCTTGTCGCTCTGGATGTATTAAGGTTCAAGTAGTTTGAATAATCCAAATTATAATTACCATTAAATATTAATTATATTGTTCTGCCTTACAGCGACGTCAAGAAGGGAGCGCTAGACATTATGGAGCGCACGCGGTCTTCCATCCGAAAAGTGGTGCCCTGCAATGTCCTGGAACCCGGAGTGCTCCCAGAAGAACACGGGGAAGCCTTTGACGTCGTTCTTTCCTGCAACTGCCTGGAAAGTGCGACGGTAGACCACGAATCCTTCCGCAGGGCGGTTCTCAACGTAGGATCACTCGTGAAACCCGGCGGTTTGCTTGTTTTGGGTGGTATGGGAGGCCTAGACAGCTATTTCATGGGAAACGCTGATTTCATTATGGCAAACGTAACCAGTGACGTGGTTAAGGAAGTGGTGACAGACGCAGGCTTCGAGATAAATGAATATCTTACCATGGACATTGACTTGAGAGGAAAAAATGACGCGTTTATGTTCATTCTGGCGGCTCAAAAACCTTGAGTCGGACAATGACACCCCCGACATCACTCTGTGCGGTGTACCTCCCTTGACCACTTCTACGTAGCCTCCTCCGCGACATGCATTCAAAGATCGAGTGAATGTTTTATAGCTTACCACTACAAAACCAAACCTATTCAAATCAAAACAACTTTTTTTTTTTTTTTTTTGACGGAAAGGACAATTTTTAGAAAAGCCTGCCATTCTGGAACGTTATGCGAGTCACCGGCACACGTGCACTTAAGAGAAGAACAACATACCAATTTTCAAAAGTTTCGAAAATAAATGTACGTCCAGTTCGAAATAAACACATCTTCTTACAACAATACTCCGTTTCAAAAAAGTTATGTTTCTTTTATACGCCTTCTTTGCTCTTTCCCCAACGACCTTCCCATTTTCGAACATTCGGCTGCGGTTCTGGTAGAAAGTTGGCGAAACGATTTTCGAAAATTAATTATTTATTGAAGGTGCGATGCAACGATAATTGTACTTTCATCAAATACCGCTTAGAATTAATCCTTGGTGTTCATAACCTAGAAACGCGTGTTATTTGCTCTTTACACACAATAATAAAAGACGCAGAAGAAAAAAAAGACGTATTGCGTTTACTCTTTTAATTTGTAGCCACAAGATGTTGCGTGACTCGGCGCCGATTATTCGCGATTTTAGAAAAGCGGACGACCACCTGTAGCCGAAAACCCCTAAACTGGGCGGCAAAGGACCTTTCGCGATTTCTGCCCCTTCTTGTGGCTTCTGTGATTACATGTTGTCGGTGGTTGCCGCGATGGGACAGTTTTCCCGGTCACTCTGTCGTTATTGTCGTGTTTAAGCGGGTTTCACATGCAGCGATTCCGCGGCCGAAATCGCTGCCGCTAGCGGCGCGGCGGCACGGATCGCGAGGTTTCATTTCACATGAGCGTTTTCTGCCGTTGCGGTGGCCATTGTTACTTGCAGCAACAGATGCGCATAGTCGATTACAGCGGCTTCTAACAACAATTTTAATGCCTTAGTTTTTAATTCCACCTTTAATTTCACCTTAATAAAACACACATACAAAAGAAAGCGTTAAAAATACTAAATAAACCTTGGTCTTTACTTTATTTTTTTTTTTTAACTTTGTTGTCGCGGAGGATGACATGAAACATCGGATCATCCTCGGCATTGCCACGGGCAGCGCCTTCCTCGGATATAAAAACTCCAACTGATACGGCCGACCCGGAGCTCCTGGACCCGAACTCCCGTAGTAGTGCAGTGGTTTCATACCGGTCTTGTCGATCACTTTCACGGCCTCAGTCCCCTCTTCTCTTTGGTCCCACTGTTCCTAAATTCTTTGAGCTGCGCATCCCAAAGTTCCGACACGACTGCTGAAGGCAAAGAAGCTCGACCCGCAGGAAAAAAGAAACCGCAAACCAGTCGCTTGCGTACTTTCTCTGCTTGTCTGCTTCAAGAACGTGAAAACGCCGCCTTCCTATGCGCCAGCTTTCCCGCACTGTTTCTCTTCCTGTCACGTGATTTCCCACCATGCTGTGAGTGGCCAGCGCGGAAGCTGCCGCTCTGCCGCGGCAAAAAAATTCCAACCTGGTGGAACCTTCGGAGCAGAGTAGCGGCGCGCATCGAGGAACCCTACGCTACTCTAGGGTTCCTCGATGCGCGCGCCCGCAATCTAGAACGCCGCCTCTCGGCGACTAGCGGCGAACGCCCGGAGGTTCCAACTGCGGTCACAAATGCATGGAAAACGTAAGAAAATCGTTGTTTCTTCAGTATTGTGAGAATGTACGGAATCGCAATCGTTTTTGACATAATAATGGAACACTTTAGAATAATTCGCGCTAAGTTTTGTGCCCCGCAAGGACCTGACTTTTTTTTAAAAATTGCTTGAGCGGCATCATGCAGCAGACGACACGGCGACGTCACGCCATTCACGTGACCCGCTCCGGCCAACCCGAAAAGCCCATCTCCGCTGCGAGTAAAAATCGTCTGCTTCAAACGCCATTGCCTTAGAAATTGCCTTCTCAAAATTTCCACACGCATCCGATATTATTAAAACTTTGATAAAGTGTTTAGTGCTTTACTAACTTCACGACAGACTAGTTTTGAAAAGTGTGAACTCGCCGTTCATTTTTTACTATAAGAGCTGCTCTTCAGAATTTGGCCATGAAGAAAATCTTTTCGCACAAAAAAGTCTTGCAAAGAAACTACAAATTTTCAAAGATAAATTTTTACATTTTGCAGCGTGTCACCATCCCAATGTGTCCTCAACAAATTATAGAAACAATTATCAACTGTGAAAGCAAAGCTTTCAGGCTAGGTGGCACAAACTACTACCCATTACAGCGGGTGCAGCTAATACCATGCATCCATCCGAACAAGCGACTGTCCACAAAAAGATCAAGACACCCACCCATGAACGACTGGCACGGCAGCAGTTGCTCCTCGAAGTTCCTGAGCAGCTTGTCCCCCAACTCCAGCATGGGCTGGTCGCTGTGGCGGATGTACTCGGCCAGGGCAACAGACCAGCCGTCCTCGTTCGTGCACGACACCTTCTGCAAACAAAGATTCGCCTGGCGTCAACAAAACTGCCCAACTGTGGTATCCTTCGTGTGCAAGGATAACTATTAACCACACGAAAGAATGACAGCTCACGGGTTTTTTTTCTGCCTAAAGAAATTACTAAAGGAAGTGCTAAAGGTGCTCATACATTCTCTAAAAAATTTTAAAAGCTAAAAATATGAGGCGATACAATTTTACTTTAGTTTATCAAAAAAAAAAAAAAACACTCATCCAGCGGTTGCTCCGACGGCCGTCGCTCGAGCCATGTCCACACGAGCGTTTCGCCGCAGTAAGGTTGCAACGCCTATTGGCTGAGAGAAAAAAGCAAAAACAAGCAAAAGCAACACAAACCGGAAGTGACGAAAGTTTTTGTTTTGTTCGTTTTTGCTTGTTTCAATTTTATTTTTTGTTTTTACTTTTTGTTTTTCTAAGTGTTTGTTGGGTGCTTTTTGGAGCGGTCGCGTCGGTTCCAGCGGTCTTTCTTGTATTATACGTTGTCGTGATATGTGCCGCCGTATTGCCGAGTGGAGTTGGTCGTGATATTCAATGCTTGGGAACGAGCGTCGGCAGTGAAGTTCACAGCGCATTCATGCAAGCTAGCAGGCCCCGTCCGTCTCGCCGGCCCGTGGGACGCTTGTTCGGAACGTAAAAGGTGAGTGGAATTTACCTACTCTGGTGGCGTTCGATCGTCGATGCGACACCGCAGTGGTGGAATTTGATAGCGCTTGGCTACCTCACGTAGCGTCGGGGACAAAGAAGATAGTAGAGATAATCAACGGGAGTGACATGTGGCTCCCGGGTGCCGCCTGCGCCGCATTGGCATTCAGTAATCGCACTTAAAGAAGGACCAAGCGCGTTGGGAATGTCAGCTTTTGACGAGCTCGTGCAGTCACAAAAGCGTTCTGTCGAAAGACGGCATTTACAAACAGATCAGGCTTCGCGAATGGCCCTCCCGGCGCGTCGAATTTGTGGCGGGTAATAATGTTACTGTTCATCCTGGTAGGCCTGCGATGGTGTTTTCTGCACAAATGCTGTATTCTGCCTCGTGGTACATTCACACCTGCAGCAGAACTGCTAAGCGATTCTGCTACAGGTTAATCGCGAAGAGTTGTGCTCTTCCATAATGTGCATGTTAAAGTGACAACAAATAAGTGCCTCTCTGTTCTACTTCTCCTTTGGTATTCAACTGGTTGTATTTTCTACTACATTTTGTTCAGACAGCCACTGCGAGACAGGCATTATACTATACTATCCAAAATAATGCTTGAGCATGAGACGAGGTAACAGAAATACTTCTATATGTGCCTGCTTTTTGTGTTTTTGCAAGACAAGGTTTTATGTGCCTGCTTTTTATGTTTTTGCAATTCACCGGCTAGACCACTCTTCTCATGGTTATTGTTTTGTTGGGTGCAAAATTTTCCACCCCAGGTGTCTGATGCTTGCGGCTGATGGCTTCTACCTACGTTCATCAAACAGCGGGCCTGCACCTTCGCCGAGACAGCAGTAAAACAGTTCTGGGTAACTGCAGCCACTGGGTCACCGATGCCGTTCCACTTCCTGCACTGCACTCCTCGTGGGTCAAAGGGCCAGCGCATGCCTTTTATGGGTTGTCGCCAGCCATAGTGAGTATGGCTTGGAGTCACGTCATGCGAGTGAAATGCTTGCCACCTGAGTGACGTCAGTGGAAGGGGGGGGGGAGGGGGGGGGGGGGCTGCCGCCGCTGCCGTTGGTAGGGCTATGGTGGTGGTCTGCGATCACAGACCACCAAGCACCATTGCACTGTTCCTGGATGAACTAGCCGCTCTTGAGGAAGAACAGGGTGCTTTGGGAAGAGCTATGGCGTCCGCTTTTTCACTAGCTCCAGCTGTCGCCACAGACATTTTGTCGAAAGGAGCAACATCTATGAATAAGTAGACGGCGCTGAATGGCCGCAAGAAGCCTCGCTTCTGATCGAGGGGGTCAAGATAGTTCAGTTTCAACAGAGGTACCTTTTGGGGTATTGTACAACACAGGAAATAAAGGGCCCGAAAGTTTTCTACCTCGACGAGGTGTGGGTTATGGTAGGACCAATTTTCTCAAAGGTGCGAGTAGACACAAATGCGGCTTTGTTCCGTGGACACCTTCATGTTTGGTGGCACAAGGCAGTCATTGCTTAACCCTGCTTAAAGATCAACGACTGGACTGGTCAAGGGTGGCATGCCTGAGAGTGGGACAGTAGACGGCTGTTATATACCAACTTTAGACTTCATTCACCCCTTAACTGACAGGGCACTGGAGGCTACATGCTCGGTGAACCAGCCGATCGTCAGTCTTGCATCACTTATCACGCCCCTTTCCCATACAGATGTGCAGGTCGGGCATGAGGCAATAATAGCTTGGCCCACCAACCACATGGCTTCTACCGCCCTGTCAGCGTAGGGGTGAATGGAGCGTAGGGGCGGCAGAGTTGGTGGGGTCTGCTGAGTGCTTCTGGCGTAGCAGTTCGGCAGTGGTGAGTTACTAGAGCACAAAACGCAATACCGCACTTTACTCTGAATGTTGCGAGCCATCGGAGCCAATC